ATAGGAGGGGGCGCCTGAGCACTTCTATCTTCCACTGGAGTGTCATCTCGCCGAGACACCTCCGAAGGCTCTGGTCCGCCCTTAGGGGTTACAAGATACCCAAACACCTGCCGTACTGGACCAGGATTAGTGAGGCTCTTCGAACGATGCTGAGCATGGCGATTCTGAGATGACCTCCGCAGCCTCTCGCGTCGTCTGGCTCTATCATACTCCGCGACCACATATTGGGGATACGTATAGTATACCCAGATTTTCTTCAGCCTATCGAAGTCGAGTGACTTAAGATAGCGCACATGCTTTGGGGTGAAGGGAACGTCCAGGAGTAGAGGATTCTGATGCCAGATAGCAAAGTTATCGAGATACTCCTGAGTCATGTCATCCCTGGGCAGTGGACGGTCAGCCAAGGCACATCCAAGGTCGAACAAGGCAATCCTACCCAGCTTATCCCGCATCATATTGTCCTCATGAGCATCCGTATCTCTCAGGGCCATGATGATGAGTGATGCATCTCGCGCCACCTCAGGATCGATATCTCGACAATCAACGTGGGAGGTGGACGGGTGTTTGGCGACGAAGTCCTGAATAACCCCTTCGAACGTGTTCCAACTAGCCACACACGCCTTGGGACAATAGGCTTTTAGATACCGCACTTCCTTCATCGCGTTACTGGCAACGGCATTCCTAACGGCTTGAGTGAACTTGGGGACGTTAGGTCTCTGACTGAGCTCTTGCTTAGGGTTACGGAAGATGAACTGCGGGTCATCCACGTTCCTCCCAAGGAACAATACTCCACCATGCAACGTTCTCACATCACTCTCGCCATGCTTGAACGCTATCCTAGTGAGGTCGTTGAACTGTTGTAAGCGCTTGTTCATACTAGTCTGCAGTAGGACATCTTGCCACTCCGGTAAGTACATTATATCATGCCTAATATCAAGGAACCTTCCCATCTCATAGGGTTGATCAACCAAATCGGTTGATAGCAAACCCGAATCCGCCAGGTCCTCCTCGTCCTCATA